AGGTCCTCGAGGTTGTCCTGGGCGACGCCCCAGGCGTGGAGGGTGGCCGCGCGGACCGGGTCGAGGCCGTCGCCGCCGTAGACGAACTGGACGACGGCGCCGTTCGCGTCGCGGACGGAGCCGTCCCAGCCCACGACGAGGCTCTCCATCGCCTTGATCAGGCAGCGCTGGAGGTGGCCGGAGCGGGAGGTCTTCACCGCGGTGTCGACCAGCCCATCGCGGCCCGCCATGGCGTGGATGGTGTACTCCGCGGGGTGGATGCCCGACAAAAAGCGCCCCATCGCGTAGCCGAAGGCCCGCGCGCGGCGCTCGTGGCGGAAAAAGCACGGCAGCGTCTTGCCCGAGTTCATCCGGCCCACGCGGCGGCCGTCGAAGAGCTGCTGCCCCAGCCCCAGGGCCATCTGGATCGCGTTGGTCTGGCTGCCTTTGGCGCCCGAGAGCGTCATCATGAGGAGCTGGTTCGCGGGGAAGGGCACCACCATCCGGCCCGGGACGAACTCCTTGTGGAGCCGCGAGGTCAGCGCCATCAGCGCCGGCAGGACCACCGCCTCGTCGTCGGGGAGGCCGAGGGGGGCGTCGTCGAGGGCGCGGAGCAGCCGCGCGCGGCGGGCCTCGTGGCGGAGCCGCATGTCGTCCACCCCCATGGAGAAGCCCTCGGGCTGGAGGGTCGTCGTGAGGGCGCGGCCGAGGGCGCCGAAGAGCAGCCCCACGCGGTGCGGCCCATACAACTCGTGCAGGACGTGCGGGAAGGCGAGGTGGCTGGGGCCGAGCTGGTTCTTGCACAGCACCCCGGCCAGCAGCGCGCCCTGGTGGAAAAGCACGCGGTCGTCGTCCATGGCGGAGCGGGTGGGGGCCTGGAGCTCGCCCTGGGCGTTGGTCCGCGTGAAGGCGGCGGGCTGGATGAGGGAGGGCGCGCTCAGGCTGACGCCGTCGTTCGGCCCCCGCCCGGACGGCGCCGCGCTGACGTAGCGCAGCAGGGCCGAGATGAGCTGCTTGCCCGTCCACAGCGGGCGCGGCTTGAGCAGGGCGGGGATGGGCAGCCACTCCGCCAAGCGCGCCGAGGTCGACGCGCCCCTCGGCCCCCCGCCTTCCCCGCCCTCGATCCCCCCCCGGCGGTTCAGGTAGGGCGCGAGGCCGGTGTAGAGCACCTGCACGAAGGCCTCGCGCGAGAGGAAGTGGTCGCGCAGGGTGAGCCGCACGCCCGCGACGATGTGGTCCTGGATGAGCCCGCGGATCGGCCGGCCGGAGGTCGGGACGAGGTAATTCAGATTGGCGTCCATCAGGCAGTCCAGCTCCGCCTTGGCCTCAAGGCTCTGCGGGACGTGGATGTTCATCTCGTCGCCGTCGAAGTCGGCGTTGTAGGACTTCCCGTTCACGTAGTGAAAGCGCAGCGTCTTGAGCCCGGACAGCACCCGCGCGCGGTAGCCCATCATCGAGACCTTGTGCAGCGTGGGCTGGCGGTTGAAGACGAGGCGGTCGCCGTCGAGGATATGGCGGTAAACCACCACCTCGGCGGTCTGGCGCATTGCGAAGTACTTCCGCGCGTGCTGCCGGCGCGACTGCGCGTTGACGTCGAGGTCGACGAAGCGGATCTCGTCGCCCGGGAGGTGGATCTCGAGGTGGGTCGCGCCGGGGTAGACGTGCGGGCCGTTCACGACGCAGCGCTGCAGAAGCGCCACCCGCGCCGGGGCGTGGGGGGGGACTTTTTCGGGAAAACTCAGCCGCCGCGCGAAGGGCCGCGGGAGGAGGACCTCGTTCGGCTCCACGACGTAGTCGGGCGAGATGACGCTGCGGCAGGCCTGGTTCACCCGCTTCCCCATCATGTACATGCGGAAAAGCCCCTCCTTCTTGGCGAAGCTGTTCATCATGTCGGTGTAGACCGCCGTCACCTTGGCCTGCAGGTTCTGCAGGTTCTGCTCGTTCGCGCGGAGTTTCTCGTTCGGGATGCGGTGGCCCATCCCCGCGCACTTCCGCTCGATCTGATAGAACTTCTCGATCTCCTCGACGAAGCCGAGGACGTCCGACAGGGCCCGCGTGAGGGGGTCCGGGACGATCACCCCGCCGGCGGTGACCTGCACCCCCGAGGAAAGCCGCAGGGCCAGCGAGGGCACCAGCAGGCGGTCGATGAAGAAGACCTTGTAGAAAAGATTCGGGGGAAGGGGGCAGTGGTACGGCATCCCCACCGGGGGCTCCCCGAGATGCGGGAAGATGGTCTGCAGAAGCCGGTCCTCCCGCTGGCAGAGCTGCTTGACGTGCTCGCGGACGTGGGCGGTGAGGAAGTAGGTGCGGGAGCGGCCCTGCAGCTCGTTCAGCACGGCCCAGGCCGCCAGCTGGTGCTGCCCGAGAATCCCCTTCGCGACGTTCAGCTCCGCGTTTTTTTTGTTGAAAAAGAAGAAGAGATGGCCGTTCTTGGTCGTGATCCGCGGCGACAGCCCGCCGCAGTGGGAGCAGACGTTCTCATACTCCCTCAGCTCCGCCAGCGCCCGCTTGCAGATGCCGTTTCGGATATCCAGCAAAGGCCCCAGCGAGGCCGCCTCGGGCGGCCGCCCGCTTTTCGGGTCGGGCTGGAGTACGCGGTCGACGTAGCCCTGCAGGGTGCTCACGCTGCTGATCACCTCCTCGTTGGCCTCGCGGCGGCGGCGATTGCGGGCCTCCTGCCCGCGCGCGTTGGCGACGATCTCGAGCAGGCGCCGGGCCTCGCCGATCAGGCCCGCGTCGAGCAGCCGCAGGGCCTGCACGTAGCGCTCCCCGTCGAACTCCGGCGCGCGAAAGCGATGGCAGAAAAAGCACTTCGCGCGGAGCAGCTCCTCCACCTCGCCGGCGAGGTGGGGGTTGATCACGTGGAGCGGCTCCTCCGCGGCCCGCCGGGGCATCCGAATGAAGCCGAAGTGGCCCTGGCAGCGCTCATTCCCCAGGCGGCCGCAGGGGGCGTTCGTGCAGGTCGTGCAGGCCTGCGTGGGGAAGCCGCGCGCGGCGAAGTTCCCCATCCGCGTGTCGTAAAACGTCGCGTCGAGGGCGTCGGCCTGGCGGACGGGGCGCCACGGCGCGGACTTGTCCTCCCGCCCGCAGCGCACGCGGACCTCGACGAAGGCGCCGCTCGCCAAGTCCTCCGAGCTGAGGAGGGAGAGGAAAAGGCCCTGTTTGGCCTGCACTAGGCGCCGCGTGCGCAAATCCCCCTCGTAGGAACGGAAGGGAAACGCGGTGGTGA